ATCGTAGAGACGAAAGATGAAAGTGATGAATAATAAAACTGTCTGTGAAATTTGCATGTGCATCAGATTCGACAGTACGCAACTTAAGGGCCATTCTGTTTTCCAAGACTGAGCTGCTGTTCATCCCTGCAGCTACAGGTCCTCATCATGATCTCGCCATCTCATTCGAGAACTCTCTGATTGTTCCGTCTGTAGAGCCAAGAAGTCTTGGAGTGGTTCTGGATGGCCAGTTATCGTTCTCCGCTCACATCGTGAACCTAACTCGGTCATGCAGGTTCCTCCTGTACAACATCTGGAGGATCCGACCTTTCTTCACTCGAGAGGCCGCCCAGGTGCTCGTTCAGTCTCTTGTCATCTCACTGCTTGACTACTGCAACTCGCTCTTGGCTGGTCTTCCTATGCGGCCATCAAGCCTCTGCAACTCATCCAGAATGCAGCAGCAAGACTCGTCTTCAATCTTCAGTCACGTCACTCCACTGCTGCGCTCTCCTTACTGGCTTCCTGTAGCTGCATCAGATTTAAAACCCTGACGCCTAGAAAGCCAAAAACGGACCAGTTCCTCCCTCCCTGATGGCAATGGTCAAAACTCGAACTGTACCTTCGAGCTTTGAGTGCAGCTCGGCTCGACCCGCCATCCTTCAAGACGCGTGGAAGACAAGCATCAAGACTGTTCTCTGTCCTGGAGCCCAGGTGGTGGAACGAACTCCCACTGTCTGAACAGCAGAGTCTCTCGCGGTCTTCAAACACAGACTGAAGACACGTCTCTTTATACAGCACTTAAGTGAGCACTGAGTTAAGTATTCATTGTAATGTTTTGTGCTGCACTTATTGTAATGTATTGCACTGCACTGCGTTTAACTCTGTTCTTTTTTCTCTGGGTATCAACATGGACTTTTGTTTCCAGCAGTATCTGAGCTCAGGACTGGCTTTCTCTCTGACTTACTTGTAACTGGGAAAGATACTTTCTCTAGATACACAAAGCACCTGGATAAGAGTGTCTGCTAAATGCTGTAAATGTAAATGTCCATGATATGATATTGTCTTTAACCCCTTAAAATCCCAGGATTATTACAGACTAAGGCTTATTGTTCAGTAACTACAGAGACGCAAACTGGCCGAGCTGAGATTATAGAAGTGTGTCATAAAATTTGGCCATTTCAAGGGGTTGAATTATTAGTCAACCGTACATAGCGACTCAAAACAAACATGGTTGCAGTCTGATTTGAGTTTTTGCCAACGTTGTGTAAAACTTCTAGCCACGGTTCCTACGAATAGGTCAGCTGGCCTTTTGAAATGCGATCGTGCAGCGGGCTTTCTTGCACTGTAAGCTGTTTTGCTACAATCTTTGTGTAGCCAGAGGCCTGACTGTGTGAGATTCACCAGGCGCCAGTCAGAATCTGTGTTCATCGAGGCTCATTTACAAAGACAGAGAATCAAAAAGTGCACGCTGACATGCTAGAGCTGCTCAGACTGTGGCATACAGGCCAGATCAGGCCTGCGGATAAATCATATGCAGCTGGACAAACCACATGCGCTTTAGACAGTAGCTTTGATTTCCAATATCCAGTCCTGCCCACAGAATCAGAGAAGCCTTCTGTCCGAGGAAGGGAATGTGTTTCATATTTAAGGAAAGCTATTTTCTATTATCAAGTCTAATAAAATTAGAGTTGCTATGAGGCAGAGCTTTGCACAAGAAACTGTCCTCACATCGTCTGGGCAGTGTTAACTGCACAAGTATCATAAGTATAACATTCATACTATACACCGATCAGGCATAACATTATGACCTCCTCCTTGTTTCTACGCTCATTGTCCATTTTATCAGCTCCACTTACTATATAGGTGCACTTTGTAGTTCTACAGTTACAGACTGTAGTCCATCTGTTTCTCTGATACTTTGTTAGCCCCCTTTTACCCTGTTCTTCAGTGGTCAGGACCCCCATGGACCCTCACAGAGCAGGTACTGTTTGGGTGGTGGATCATTCTCAGCACTGCAGTAACACTGACGTGGTGTGTTAGTGTGTGTTGTGCTGGTACGAGTGGATCAGACACAGCAGTGCTGCTGGAGTTTTTAAACACTGTGTCCACTCACTGTCCACTCTATTAGACACTCCTACCTTGTCGGTCCACCTTGTAGATGTGAAGTCAGAGACGATAGCTCATCTGCTGCTGCACGGTTTGTGTTGGTCATCCTCCTGTCCTTCATCAGTGGTCACAGGACGCTGCCCACAGGACGCTGCCCACAGGACGCTGTTGGCTGGATATTTTTGGTTGGTGGACTATTCTCAGTCCAGCAGTGACACTGAGGTGTTTAAAAACTCCAGCAGCACTGCTGTGTCTGATCCACTCGGACCAGCGCAACACACACTAACACACCACCACCACGTCAGTGTCACTGCAGTGCTGAGAATGATCCACCACCCAAATAGTACCTGCTGTGTGAGGGTCCATGGGGGTCCTGACCACTGAAGAACAGGGTAAAAGGGGGCTAACAAAGTATCAGAGAAACAGATGGACTACAGTCTGTAACTGTAGAACTACAAAGTGCACCTATATAGTAAGTGGAGCTGATAAAATGGACAATGAGCGTAGAAACGAGGATCATAATGTTATGCCTGATTGGTGCATGTTTTGCAGCCTAAACTCTGTTTCTATGTATGTTGGTCTTGTTTTGACGTCTAATCTACACTAGCAGCACTCCTGGGCTGAACAAACTGAACATATGTTGACATTAAATCAGCGAATTATGTCGTTTTACAGTAAATGTTTTCTGTGAAACTGAACGGGGAATTACGCTCCAACTAAACCCAAATAAACCGCACTGATTTCAGTTTCGTTCCATGCTCTATTTAGCTGAATGGAAATGTGTGGCATAACTGAATTAAGTTCATAGAAACAATTTGCTTTTACAAAGTTACTTCACAAAATCCTCACAACTGAAATCATCATAATCAGAGTCAATATATCTAATATTTCCCCTTATGAGACTGTTGTTAAGATATAAATATTTTCACATATTGTAAGTCATTTTATCTGGTGAAATCATCTTTTGCTTGTAAGAATAATCCTGCAGTACTCTTAACAGGTTCATAATGAGCAATAATATGAGGTATTTTGACTAGATTTAGGATAATTTCACTTGCCAAGATGTTCTGCAGTGTAATAATATGTTATCATCACTTATCATGTGTACAGAAGAGGCCTGCACGCACACACACACACACACACACACACACACACACACACACACACACATGTGCGTGATGCAGGAACAAACTGCTGGGCCTGAATCCAGACTCTGAAATCAGATGAAACTCTGTACTCCCACTGCAGAACATTCAGAGTTTCTCTCTGTCCAACAGAGAGTCGTATTTTCTCCTCTACAAGAACATCAGACTCTGCTGTTTGTAATTGTGTTCGATTAGAGAGAATAATTTATGGCAGAGCGATGTGAACTTGGAGAAAAGGGCTGCAGTTCACAACTTGCTGTCGGCGTCAGTGGAACAGTACAGGCCGTGCAAAAATATTAAAACAGTTCAAATTCAGCCATAAATACACATTTTTCATCAGTTTTTTAAAGTACACTGCGAAAAACGGTCACTTTGCATGTGAAATGGTCTTAAATCTAGTCGATATATCTCATCTTTCTCATTTTGAGACTGTTGTAACCTTATTTTTAAGATCATTTATCCTGCCTTCCGCCCAGTGACAGCTGGGAGAGGCTCCAGCTCTTATCCCAGCTTATGTAGGCAAATATGTTTGCTTGTTTCTGAAACATACTTGAAACCAGCAATATTATCCACCAATACAGTGCAGTGAAATCACCTTAAGCAAGTAAAAAATGCCCAGAAATAAGTGAAATTATCTTCAAATAAGCTTAAAACATTCTCAAAATGAGAAATATTAGATATGTCAACTACATTTAAGACAATTTTACTTGTCAAGACACATTTTGCGCAGTGCAGGAACAGCAGATGAGTAAGTAAGAAGTCAATTTTTTCCTCCAGCACTCTAATCGGAAACTAATCCTGTCCCTGAAGGGCAATTCCACCGATCTTTCCAATTTTCTGCATACTTAAGTGGTTGAGATGTAAACAGAGTCGTTCAGAGTGGTTTGGTGTGAAACGCTCTGTTCTAGATAAACTTACAGAGTCAAAATTGTTCACAGTGGTGGTGATAGGAACCAGATGTCCACCTCTAAAAGCTCCCTCACAGGATAATGTTTTGGCATAAAACATATTTTTAAATCTATTCATGATGATTTATCACTATTTTCACATCATCAACGTTCCGTATAAAAACTCAGAAGACTCGTGTAGGTTCACTGGTGGTTTTGATAGTAAATAAAATGTCTATATTTGTGTTGTAGTCATGGCAACCCCTGGTTCCCATCACCACCACTGTACAGAAATCTGAACGATTTCACACCAAACCACTCTGAATCACTCTGATTACATCTAATTTTAACAAAGGTTGGTGAATTATGCAGCAATTTTGAAAACTTGGTGGAATTGCCCTTTAAGCATAGTCACCAAAGGTTTGAAGGCGCCAAGGTTTCTTCTGAAATTAAGGATATTAATAGTGAGTCTGTGCTGCTGTAACAGCCTCTACTCTTCTGGGAAGGCTTTACACTAGATGCTGGAACATTGCTGTGAGAATTTGATTGAGCATTAGTGAGGTCAGGTACTGATGTTGGATGGTCAGTTCTGGATCTCCAACTCATCCCAAAGGTATTGGATGGAGCTCCAACACTCCAGAGAACACAGCTCCACTGCTCCACAGCCCAATGCTGGGGGGCTTCACACCCCTCCAGCCTACGCTTAACATTGGGCTCATGAGCAGCCACTCCAGAGTGTCCCATTCTATTGGTTAATGCTTTTCTATGGATACAATACCTCTTTACTCACTCATTAGCAGGGCTGTCTGGACAGGTTTGGACGTATAGCATGGCTATCTATTTAAGGAAACACTGATTTAATGCTGTATTATGCTGGACTGACCTGTGGGTCCTGGGGGTCCCTGGGGCCCTTGTGCAGGGACAGCTCGGGGGTCTGGGAAACTGTTTGAGAGGAGCAGGTCCTTCTTCTCTTCTGCAAAATGTCAGAAAAGACAAACTCGTCACTGCTACTGAGTGTGTAATTACCTCTGCTGACCTACAGATGGTGCCGATGTGACATCAATAGCAGGATGCTGTGATTTCACTGTAAATGACAGCACTGACCGAAGCACTGAGGTTTTTAAGAGACGGACTTGTCTGATGGTGAGAGCTGAGCAGTAACCAGTTACATATTCAGTTCCATGTAACTGGGATGGATTTGAACTCTCCTGAATTAGTGTAAAGAACGGAATTTGCTTTTTGCTCAGTTACATTTTGGTCATTTACACCGGTCAGGCATAACATTATGACCACCTCCTTGTTTCTACGCTCATTGTCCATTTTATCAGCTCCACTTACTATATAGATGCAGTGTGTGCAGTGTGAGGTTTTTGAAACAGATATTTTAATGAAACTAAGTAAAACGTTTAGTTCTTTACAGTGGGAACGTTTACGCTCAGTTTTTGTGTCTGTCAGCTTCCATAGAGAGAGACACATCACTGTCAACCATTAGAGTCTTTGTCACTGTGACACATTAACTGGTTTTCTATTGTGTCTATAGACAGGGCATCTATAAAAGACCCCCATTTAACCCCCTAAAACTCTCTCTCTCTCTCTCTCCCTTTCTTTGTGCTACTCTCTCTCCCTCTCTCTCTGTTTTTCTGTCTTTCTCTCTATCTCACTCTCTCTCTCCTTTTCCATGTGCTTCTCTCTCTCTCTCTCTCTCTCTCTCTCTTTCTCTCTCTCTCTCTCTCTCTCTGTGTGTGTGCTTCTCTCTCTTTCTCTCTTTTTCTGTCTCTCTCTCTCTCACTTTCAACCATTAGAGTCTTCATCACTGTGAAACTGGTTTTCTATTGTGTTTATAGACAGGGCATCTATAAAAGACCCCCATTTAACCCCCTAAAACTCTCTCTCTCTCACTCTCTCTCCTTTTCTCCTTTTGTGTGCTTCTCTCTCTCTCTCTCTCTCTGTCTGTCTTTTTCTGTCTCTCTCTCCTTCTCTCTGTCTCTCTCTGTCTTTCTCTCTCTCTCTCTCTTTCTGTCTCTCTCTTTTTCTGTCTCTCTCTCTCTCTCTCTCTCTCTCTCTCTCTCTCTCTCTCTCTCTCTCACACTTTCAACCATTAGAGTCTTCATCACTGTGAAACTGGTTTTCTATTGTGTTTATAGACAGGGCATCTATAAAAGACCCCCATTTAACCCCCTAAAATCTCTGTCTCTCTCTGTCTGTCTCTCTCTCTCTCTCTCTGCAGGTGTGTGTGTGTCTGAGGTTATTGTAGCTGCAGGCTGGTCCGTCTCTCAGACTCAGACAGGAAGCCGCAGTAACACACAGCTCTTCCTGAGCTCTGATTATTCTGTAGGAGCACAAACTCCTGATCTCCTGACCATCAGGCCGCTTCTGCTGCCCTTCACTCTAATGCTGGCTTCAGGCAACTCGCTGCACGCTGAGAGTCGCCTGCAACATAATCTCTACGCAACTCGACAGTTACATGAGAAACAACCAGTGTTTGCAGCTCGTATATCTCTGATACACCGGTTTATTCTCGCTATATAAAGTCATCCATGTGGTGTGAAAGTGTAATTAGCCATTACGGTTGTAACTGACGTCTCACTCCTCCTGTCCAAGCAGCCTAAGAGGTTCATCGAGGATCGTCTCAGTCTCCTCGTCTGTAATTATGTTCATCGTTCGGACCCCAAAAGAATCTGAGCTCTGTGTAAAACTCCAGCTCTAAAATCTCTACACTGCTTCCAGTTAGTTACAGGTAGTAACTGAATGGTTTCAGCCCAGAATCCATCTCTGACACGTTTACAGAATATAAACAGAGTAGCTCGCCTAGAGTAGCTCGTACATCTTAAAAAGATGGTTCTTCAAGGGTTCTATATAGAACCATGAACACTCAAAGAACCCTTTGCATGCTGAAATGGTTCTTCAGACTGATGGAGAATGTGCTATAGGTGGTTCTAAGTTCACCAAAAAGGGTTCTTCTACTGCTACTCGACAAGTTTGACATCATAACAATAGCAGAACCCTTTGTGGTGCTATTTAGAACCACAACACATTCCCCATCAATCTGAAGAACAATTTCACCATGCAAAGAACCATTTAAGCATGCAAATGGTTCTATATAGAACTCATGGTTCTGAACACTTTACTAAAGAACCATTTTTTAGGAGTGTAGCTGTTTAAGTCTGATGACCTTCACTCTCTCTCTCTCTCTCTCTCTCTCACGCACACACACCTCTCCGCCCTGCTGTTTCAGCCGGTGCACATCTGGAAGTGGTTGAGTGACATCATCAGCGTCAGACAGACAGGTCTTTTCCCAGCATGTGACTGCGTCTAGTCTGAGTTACCTCCTGAAGGCTGTCACACAGACCCACCCACCGCCCCTGCGTCTCCTCTCGCCCTTCCTCCCCCTCCCCACCCCTCCGCTCCGCTCCCACAGTCCCTTGTATCTTCAGTGGAGGTCACAGACGGGAGCAGATTAGGACCCATGTCTAGATATGAAAGCCTGGAGCATCAACAAAACCACTCCTGAAACGAGCGTTCGTCTTTATCTCTGATCCCAGTCACTCATTCCTGAAGTGCTCCAGTAAACTGTGATGAGTCAAATCACACTTTCACTTCTCCTCAGGAACATTAGTGAGGAAAGTCATCTGCTTTTGGGGTTTAATTTCATTCTGATGTGTTGGTTCAGCATCTGTGCTGCTCTGTGATTGGTCGCTCCTCTTACTACGGAGATTTAGCACTTTATTTTGGACCAAAAAGAGTAGAAGAACATAAAAACGTCACTTTCTTTGCTGAAAGATGATGGATTTACTGAGAAGGTCCACTGCAGATTTACTGAGAAGTTCCACTGCAGATTTACTGAGAAGGTCCACTGCAGATTTACTGAGAAGTTCCACTGCAGATTTACTGAGAAGGTCCACTGCAGATTTACTGAGAAGTTCCACTGCAGATTTACAGAGAAGTTCCACTGCAGATTTACTGAGAAGGTCCACTGCAGATTTACTGAGAAATTCCACTGCAGATTTACTGAGAAGTTCCACTGCAGATTTACTGAGAAGGTCCACTGCAGATTTACTAAGAAGGTCCACTGCAAATTTACTAAGACATTCCACTGCAGTTCTAGAAGATCCTCTGTACATTTTTGCAGCTGCTACTTTTGTACTTCTACGTTCTGCCTTGCCCCTCAATCTTTCTCCATCACTCCAGAGAACACAGTTCCACTGCTCCACAGCCCAATGCTGGGGGGCCACTGCACACCGAATGCGTCGCGTTGTGTAGCTTAGCATGGCATACCTTAACATTGCGTAGCTTAGCATCACGTAGCAGAGCGCTGCTACAGAATGCTGGCAGGGAGAGCCGATAAAAGCTATTAAAGTTTATTTTACACACTACTCACACATATTGAGTGGAATAAAGCACTCAGCATCAGTGACATCAGTTTTCTACGTCTACACACTCTCACTGTTTTTGAGCTGAAAGACGTGAGCTGAAAAAGGGTAGTAGTTAGCTGAGGTAACATACTTTTAGCATCTGTCTGTTTATCAAAAAAACTGGTTGCCTTTCTTTGTGTAGATTTCAAGCCATGTGATCTACTGTGGCTTTCTGTGATCTCAGTATGGCCTTCATTTAATGTAGTACTGGTAAAATGCTGTGTGACGCACTGGGAAGCCATGGAGCGCCGCTGCCTGTTGACACCAGTGCATTTCTATGGAGATTACACAATGGGTGACCTTAAAGTACCTAAATTCAAGTGCGGTCTGGTCATTTGGTTTGGATATTCTTCTGGGGCGTGGCTTGAGTAGATCACCATCTATCATTTATTCAGGTCTGTAGTGTATGCAGTATATCCATGGGAGCTACAGAGGGCAATGCTAACTCACACTAGCCTCACAGCTCCACATCAACTCTACAGTCTGATCTCATTTCCTCCTGGGGGAGATACAGACCACCAGCAGTGGCTGAGCGAGTGTGGGGGCGAGCGCAGGGATTCCATCCATCTGGATCTACATTACGGTTATGTCCCTCATCACACCTCCCATATACAGAGGTGCGAAATCTCCTTAGCCATGAAAGAAAGACGGAGAGAGAGAGCGAGCGAGAGAGAGAGAGATATTGATTCTGTGCAGATAATTAGAAAAGTTAACTCATTATGATCTGAATTTGATAAAAGTTATTGTTGTGCATTCTTCACTAACCCCTTCCACTCTAAAGGTACACAGGCTCACATCATGATGGCAGAAAGGCTTTGGGCTCATCTCGCCCTTTCACTGTTAATGGAGTCAGTTTGGCCATGCTGGGTTGGAAATGTTCAGGGACCAAACGGTGTAAATCTTCACCTGCCAGGATAGCTGTGTATGACTCTAACTGGCATCCTAATAGTGAGGTAATGTTCACCTTAAGCACAGTAGTCACTGTGTAATTCATAGCCATGATTGCATAGTTCATAGTAGATACTGAATAATTCATAGTAGATACTGAATAATGCATAGTAGATATTGTATAATTCGTAGTAGACACTGAAAAATTCATAGTAGATACTGAATAATGCATAGTAGATACTGAATAATTCATAGTAGATACTGAATAATTCATAGTAGATATTGTATAATTCGTAGTAGACACTGAAAAATTCATAGTAGATACTGAATAATTCATAGTAGATACTGAATAATGCATAGTAGATACTGAATAATTCATAGTAGATATTGTATAATTCGTAGTAGACACTGAAAAATTCACAGTAGATACTGAATAATTCATAGTAGATATTGTATAATTCGTAGTAGACACTGAAAAATTCACAGTAGATACTGAATAATTCATAGTAGATATTGTATAATTCGTAGTAGACACTGAAAAATTCATAGTAGATACTGAATAATTCATAGTAGATATTGTATAATTCGTAGTAGACACTGAATAATGCATAGGAGGTAATGAATAATTCATAGTAGATACTGAATAATTCATAGTAGATATTGTATAATTCGTAGTAGACACTGAAAAAATCACAGTAGATACTGAATAATTCATAGTAGATATTGTATAATTCGTAGTAGACACTGAATAATGCATAGGAGGTAATGAATAATTCATAGTAGATACTGAATAATGCATAGTAGGTACTGAATAATTCGTAGTAGATACTGAATAATTCATAGTAGACACTGAATAATGCATAGTAGGTACTGAATAATTCGTAGTAGATACTGAATAATTCGTAGTAGACACTGAAAAATTCATAGTAGATACTGAATAATTCGTAGTAGACACTGAAAAATTCATAGTAGATACTGAATAATTCATAGTATATATTGTATAATTTGTAGTAGACACTGAATAATGCATAGTAGACACTGAATAATGCATAGTAGGTACTGAATAATTCGTAGTAGATACTGAATAATTCATAGTAGACACTGAATAATGCATAGTAGGTACTGAATAATTCGTAGTAGACACTGAAAAATTCATAGTAGATACTGAATAATTCATAGTAGACACTGAATAATGCATAGTAGATACTGAAGTAGTAGACACTTTTGCCCTTTTAATGTGTTTTAACTGCTTATTAGTGATTTTTACGGTGCTAATGACATAACTAATAACCATGAACAAACTGATTTTAAATCTTTCATAAACTTTTTATAAGGGTAGTCTTATTTTAAAGTGGTACCGTATAATTCATATTAGTTAGTAATAGTCTCTGAATAATTTATGATAGTTTCTGAATTATTCATACTAGTTATTGAATAATTCATAGCAGTTACTGCATAATTCATAGTAGTTATTGAATAATTAATAGGAGTTACTGAATACTTCATAATCGTTTCTGAATAATTCACAGTACCATGAATGACTTTTAGAACTCAATTTAAAATTAGCACTTTCCACACAGATCCTCTGCGCATGTCAGTGAACTGAAAGTGAGAAATAGTTCATATAAAATTACACAATGATTTTGTTATTAAGTAAACCTTCTAAGGGTTCCAGAAAAAGATTCTATGGAAGGGAAAACTCTTACTGTCTTCAGAAACAGGTGCTGGAGGCCCTGGTGGTCCGGGGGGTCCAGGGGGTCCTGGAGGCCCTGGCAGGCCCCTCTCTCCTGGGAGGCCCGGTGGTCCCCGAGGGCCTGAGGAGGAAACAAAACAATTATTTCACCCAGCGCTTAATGAGGGACAGGCCGTCATTACTGTGAGAAACCTTCAGTAAAGAACACCAGACACACACACACACACACACACACACACACACACACACAGACACACACACACACACATACACACACACACACACACACACACACTCTCTCTCTCTCTCTCTCTCTCTCTCTCTCTCTCTTACTCTGTGCCTCTCTCTCTCTCTCTCTCTTACTCTGTGCCTTTCTCTCTCTCTCTCTCTTTCTCTCTCACTCTCTCACTCTGTGCCTCTCTCTCTCTCTCTCTCTCTCTCTCTCTCTCCCTCTCTCACTCTGTCTCTCTCTCTCCCTCTCTTACTCTGTGCCTCTCTCTCTCTTTCTGTCTCTCTTACTCTGTGTCTCTCTCTCTCTTACTCTCTTACTCTGTGCCTCTCTCTCTCTCTCACACACTCCGTGCCTCTTTCTCTCTATAAAGGTGGAGTGAAAGAGACAATAAAAGCATGTCATCAATGAAGGAAGGGAGAGAGAGAGAGAGAGAGAGAGAGAGAGAGAGAGAGAGAGAGAAAGAGAGAATGGGACATGAGTGGGAGAGAAAGAACCACAGGAGAAAGAGAGAGTGGGTGAGAGACAGAAGGAGAGGAAATAAATCAGGACCAGGTGAGAAATACAGGGGGTCTTTGGGGGGGTCTGGGAGCCCCTAATCAAAGTCTTGGACACCCTGAATGTCAAATTCAAAACTTATATTATTTTATATATTAAATAATGCTGTCTGTTTGGGGAAAAAAACAGACACTCAAATCCAGATTCAGTGAAGCTCATTGTTTATCTGCTTCTCCCATAATCAGCTTCGATTTTTGGTCTCCTTAACTAACTAGAGCTGCAGCACTGCTCTGCCTCAGGGTGGCGCTGTGGACTGGCTCACCCAATTGGTCCTTCATAGCCTAGAAACTGTAACTCTGCCCAGGATTCCCCTGAAACATGTTACTGGCCTACCCCTTGTGTGGTGTTCAGGTCTGTGGGACCCATTTTCAATGTTTATCAAAAGAAAAAATGATGTGATTTATTATTATTTCAACCTCAGATTCTTGGTCTTTGCTCATTTTCTGTGAAGAACATATAAAATAACCCATTTTCAGTGTCTTCACTCTGTTCACCCCCCACACATTTATATTACACGTGGTGTTGGGTGAACCTGCGGGGAGTAAAAGTGTGGAGGTGCTGTGTCCTTCACTCTGTTCCCCTCCTACACGGCCTGCTGTTAGTGTGTGTGTATGTGTGTGTCTGTGTGTGTGTGTGTGTGAGGGTGGACAACATGGACAGGCTGCTGACTGGCTACAGCTGCTAAAGGAGAACCCTACACTAGACACTTGCGATATTTTAAACATCTGGTATTTTTATATAAATTGTTGTGGCTGTATTGATTTAAAAAACAATAATGTGGTGGGACCAGCAGACCACTGAGTAACAAAAGAGTTTGGTGTGAAGAGTGACTGTTCCTCATTTCTCAAACTAAACAACCTCAGCGATAGAGTTGCCAGCCAACACGGGATCCCCGAATACCAGTGGGTATTTCACACACTGGACAGGAAGAGAAAGAGTGAGAGAGGGACATGTAGAGAGAAAGAGAAGAGAAGATGCGAGAGGGTGAGAAAATAAGCCAGGACGAGAGAGAGAAAGAGAGAGAGAGAGAGAGAGAGAGAGAGATAGAGAGAGAAATAGAGAGAGAGTAAGAAAGAAAGATAGAGAGAGAGATACAGAGAGAGAGAGGGACATGTAGAGAAGAGGAGAAGAGAAGATGCGAGAGGGTGAGAAAATGAGACAGGACGAGAAAGAGATACAGAGATATAGAGTGAGAAAGAGAGAGAGAGATAGAGACAGAAGGAGAGAGAGAGATAGAGATAGAAAGAGACAGAGAGAGAGAGGGACATGTAGAGAGGAGAAGAAGAGAAGATGCAAGAGGATGAGAAAATGAGACAGGACGAGAGAGAGAGAGAGAGAGAGAGAGAGAGAGAGAGATAGAAAGATAGACAGAGAGAGAGAGGGACATGTAGAGAGGAGGAGAAGGGAAGATGCGAGAGGGTGAGAAAATGAGACAGGACGAGAGAGAGATAGAGAAATATAGAGAGAGAAAGAGAGCGAGAGATAGAGAGAGAGATAGAGATAGAGACAGAAAGAGAGATATATATAGAGAGAGGGACATGTAGAGAGAAAGAGAAGAGAGGATGCGAGAGGATGAGAAAGTGAGACAGAATGAGAGAGAGATAGAGAGAGAGACATGTAGAGAGATAGAGAGAGAGACAGAGATAGGGAGAGAGGGAGAGGGAGAGAGAGACCTAATTAATGTGTTGGGTTCTGAAACTTGGTTGTGTGAAGTGAGTTGACAGGAGCAGTGGGATATCTGTGCTGGCGGGGTTCTTGGGGGGGGGGTGGCGGTCCGGGGGTCTGTAATTAACAGATGGAGGGGTGGGGCGATGGTGTGATGGTCGTGTGCAGAGAGAGCAGAACTCAAATAAACTGGGCTAAATACCTGAGAATATGACACTCCAGAGGACGATAAGTTAAACACACACATGCCGCACGTGTGTGTGTGTTTATACAAAAGCACATGTAAATATGGCCCATTCTACCAAACTGCGCTCACACAGTTAATAAAACAACGAAGTATTCAGAGCTTAGATATTTACAAGGATTATATTCTGATCTATTTAAACCCAACACGTTAATAGAGATATTAACCCTCTGCTGCACACCTGGCTTGTGACTGGCTAAATCCACTCCACTGTATTGGAGTGTTGCTTGTAGGCAACAAACATATTTCTGCAAATTATATCTGATTTAAAAGTGCCCACTAAGAGATAATATGACCAAGCACATGCTCTTTATTGATTTACTCAAACCCTCTTTATTGTTAACCCTATCATTGTCTTTAAATATGCATAATGTTATTGTAAGTGAGGAAAATGAGTTTGTTGCCCTGAGGCAACATTGTGCAACAGAGGGTTAATAAGCTAAACATATCGCCGCTGTTAAAAGAAAAACGTCTCTTCATTCGTTTCGATTTTTACTTTTTTACATCATTCGAGCATGGCCGACGTCTTTTACACTATGCAAAATTTTCACGATGATTGGACCAATAGAAACGCTCCAAAATTGCTTGGAATAAAACCTCTTTACATTGACTTACATTGAAAAATGTTTTGTCTTCCCCTGTAAAAAGAGACTATTTTGGAGATGCCTGTTTTTCTTTGGACAGCGATGATACACAAAACCATCATTTATAGGGTACTTTCTGTCGGGCGACGTCTGTCCTAAAGTCAAAAAATGTACACTTGTGCTTTTTATGTTTTTTTATTTCTATAAAATCTTTAAAAATGTATTCAAAAATTTGCTGTCCCATGTTTTTATGTCACTACCGAAACGCAAAAGCTGCACTAACTGTGCCCTGTTTACTACATAGTGCACTATTTTGGGGCTTTGCCATTTTGCTTTGATGTCTTCATCATGTCTTGGACAGAAACTGCCAAGAGAACGTTCATATATACGCTGTACTGCATAAAACGCAGAGAGACACTGTCCAGATAAAAGGGCGTAACTTGGAAACACAAAGAAGCAAAAACTTCAAACATCTTGTATTTTAGATCAAAGGGTTTTATGCAGTGTTTTGTGTTAACTGCATAAAACGCAGAGAGACACTGTCCAGATAAAAGGGCGTAACTTGGAAACACAAAGAAGCAAAAACTTCAAACATCTTGTATTTTAGATCAAAGGGTTTTATGCAGTGTTTTGTGTTAAGATTTTATAGGATCATAGTTTTTTTTCTGTAAAACTTCAAAAAATAAGCTTGTTTTTTATGCTACTTTGTGGGTTTATGGGTTAATTCATGAATATAGTGTGTAAAAATATTTATGGAATGGCATATTTTGTGTATTTTGTGTATGCGCACCAGGTTTATGACATGTTATGGGGACCAAAGCCTGTTTATACACTCAGATTGTGGGGACCTTTCTTCGTTGTGGGGACCACAAGTAAATCATCCAATTTTAAGGTGAAGTTATGTTTAAGGTTAAGGTCCGTCTGCTGTCCTTCCATCCCTCTTTTCTTCTCCATCCCTCCACCACTCTTCATCCCTCTTTTCTTCTACTTTCCTTTCATCCCTCCATTACTGTCCATCCTTCTTCGTCTCTTTCCTTCTGCTCTCCTTTCGTCCCTCTTTCCCTCAACTCTTCTTTCTTCCCTCCAGTGCTCTCCATGCCTCTATGCTTCTGCTTTTTTCATCCCTCCACTACTCTTCATCCCTTTTTCCTTCTGCTCTCCTTTTATCTCTCTTTTCTTTTGCTCTCCTATTATCCCTCTTTCATCCCTTCATCGTTGTCCATCCTCTTAATTTCTGCTGTCCATTCATCCCTCTTTTCTCCATCTCTCTCGTTTGCCTGTCACTAGTGTGTGTGTGTGTGTGTGTCTGTGTGTGTGTGTGTGTGTGTGTGTGTGTCTGTGTGTGTGTGTCTGTGTGTGTGTGTGTGTGTGTTTGTGTGCACACTGAGCACTCGTTTTCTCACTCTTCTGTCTCTCCTCTTTTCTCCGTCCAGGCTCTGGGGGAGGTGCTGCAGTTTATGAAGGCAGCGAGTCTCTGAGCGTTTCTCTGAGCGCTGAAGTCGCTGTGCGTTTGGACAGTGATTTATTTGGCACGAGACAGACGACAGATGAGCGATTTAACACTCGTTTATGGACTGGATCAAGACGCCGTTCTCGCTCTCAGAGGTGTAAATCATTGACTAGCAGTTTGCAGCCGTTCTCTCTGGACCGGAACAGAGAGCAGTTCTGGAAAACACTCTGATACGCGAACAACAGTTTAAATAACTGTGAACGTGTGTGTGAATGCGTGGCGATGTGTGTATTTGTGTCTTTGTGGGGACTTGATCCCCCCAGGATGACAAAAACCTGCATTTTTCCCCTAAAATGAGCAGCTTTTATTAGAAAAAGAGACGCCAGAATAG